GGAGCGCTGGGTACCGGGGATGGGGAGCCCGGGGTACCGGGGATGGGGAGCCCGGGGTACCGGGGATGGGGAGCCCGGGGTACCGGGGATGGGGAGCCCGGGGTACCGGGGATGGGGAGCCCGGGGTACCGGGGATGCGGAGCCCGGGGCTGTAGCGGGTGCAGACGGGGACAGTCGCGGTAACACGCTCGGGCTGCTCGGTGTCACGGAAAGTTTGAGCCCCCGGGGCAGAGCGTTGCCCTCTCCTGGACTCTGCTCCCCGCTTTCCCCGATGGAAGCTTTGTCCTCTCCCTGGAAAACCTGGCTTTCCCTGGCACGGAGTGACAAAGGAAGCATCCTGCTCCCCCGGGCTCCCCACAGCCCCCGAGCCAGAGCGAGGGAGTGACTTCAACAGCAAGGATCAAACCCTGACGGGAGGTAAAGTGATAAACATCATAAACTACAATTCACATCCAGCGTTTTTAACCTTCTCACGAGGGCACAGCCTCTCCTGAACAGCCCCGGTATCCCGGTTTTCCGAGCTCAATGCATGTGCCACGGTTAACCCTGGCTTTCAGAACGATGGCACCAACAGGCATTAGAAATTCAAACAACCTTGAGTCATTGTGTCCTACAAGGCAACTTTTCAAAAGGTAAGAATAACCCCTCTCACCTTCAAGCCATAATTAAAAATGAAGGAGGAGGAAAAAAAAAAAAAAAAAGAAAAAAAAGCAATGCCATGGAAACAAAGCTAAACCTAAAATTGCCGTGGAGGATTTGGAGTTTTAGTTCAGTCCTAGCTGCACATGAAGTCTTTTATGGCTTACAAACCTGGAGACAGGCACATAACTCATAGTCAGACCCTAAAATACTGTGGTCAGTCCATCATCCACACTCAGGTTCATTATAAGAGGGTGAAAATGGGAATGATTTACGTGACACAGAGTTAGAAATACCTCCCAAATTGCTGAAAACCAGCTTTGGCAGGGGCTGAGGGGAAGCTGGTTTGGGGGTTCTGCAGGGGTGTTTTGGCACACCATAAACAGAAGGTTTGCTTCCAAAGCTGACAGCTGAGATTTTTCTTCTCTATAAATAGAAACACTTTTTATTAAACAAATAAACAAACACCACCCAGCTTGGCAGAGAAATTTACCAAAAAGGGAAACCACATGGCCTTAACTGTCAGGAGCAGAAATATTTGTGCAAACAGAAATATACCTGCTGCTTATTCTGAAGCAGTTTGGGATAAAGACCCATTCCTGTTGTCCTTCATTCCCACTGCTCCCACTGAAGTCAGGCTGCTGCATTACACAGAAGCAGCAAGATCTATTTTAATTATAAACCAGCTTGGAAAAAGCTGCATTTAAAGGCTTTTGGCACGTGGCTGGTACAGATGATCCCAATGGAAAAAAAAAAAAAATAATAAATCTTAGGATCTTAAAAAAAGAGAATACAAGAATTTGAAGCAGCTCCTTGCTGAAGGACAAGGCGAGCATTTTTGCCACCCCTTCCCCCAAGAAAGGAGCAGAATTAAGTCCCTCAAGAACAGGAGGGAGGGAGAAAGCCACAAGTCCCCTTAGGGTGACAGATGGCTACAGGGCACCTGTGAGTGTGTGGTCCTGGGGAGAACAGCACAGCAGGAGAAAATAAAGATGACCAAAAAAAAAATGCAAGGGAAAAAAAATCTCTGAGTGGAAAATAACAGGAGAGCTAAAAAAGTCAGAGTACACACGTGCCAAGAGCTCCCCTGCCTTGTCTGGGAGGATTGACTTCTAAAAGCTCCCCAAGTTTCTGCTCCCCCTGTTTCATTCTGGGGGATGAAGGAGCAGGCTGTGGGGCTGTGGTGCCATGGCCTGGGGCTGTCCCCAGCCTGCAGGACAGCTGGGCACTGCCTCCCTGGGCAGAATGGCCATGGGAACCAGTCTGAGGGAAAACTGATCCTTCCTGCGCTGGTCTGCAGCATTCTGTGCTCCACAGACCCCTCTGCCGTGCTGCTCTCAGCAGCAGCAATGGCTTTCCCTTCACTTCTTTCACCTGGGAGAATTATCTCAGTTCTGTTCAGGTGTGCTGCAGTCACTCCTGGCCTGAGCAGACCAAGCAAACCCCGGAGTATTCACACCAAGCCTCACATTCCCTTCAGTGTGTGCTGGGAACCACCCCCAGCACGTTCTGAGTGAGGCTCTGCTCTCTGGGGCTGCCAGGGATCCAAGTGTCCCCTGTGTCACCAGAGCTCAGAGTCACCCACAGACACATCCCCCTGTGCCTGCCCTGCAACAGAGAGCAAACTGCTTCAGATAGCAACAAAACCAACATCAAAGAGTCCAGTGAGTCACAGAGGCTGGGAGAGCCAGTCCAGCCCAAACATCAGCCCAGCCCCAGTGCCCTGTTCAGCACTGACCCCAGCCCCAGGAGCCTCAGCCCCGTTTTTGGGCACGTCCAGGGGAGGTGGCTCCACCCTGGGCCAGGCTCTGGCCGCTCCCTCCGTGATGGAATTTTCCTACAACCTGATTTAACTTCCCCTGGCACGACTGGGGCTGTTTCCTGTCACCCTGCCCTGAGCACGGACACCCCCAGGACATGTCCTTTGTGCCACTTCAGGCCTGAGAGCAGCTTCCCCACCTCTGTTTCCTTCGAGCTTTGCACCCCCAGAACACTGAACTGAATTTCAACAGCAAATACAAAATAGGTGCTTGAAAAGCTCAGGCAAGACTCCACTCTCTAAAGCAGGGTTCAACCAAGGCATAGCTCAGCCTCCACTGGAGACTTTGGAGGTTTTTTTCTTCTACTTTTTATCTTCTTTTTTTTCCCATTTTCATTACATCCCACCAAGAAAAAATAGCTTGAAACATTTTTTACTAAATAGAGAAGAAGAACTAAAGGATATGTGTCAGTATTGGGCAGAGCAGATCAGTTTGCATGTCTAATAGAAAAATTCTATTTTTGCCCATTCTGGTGGAGTTCTGTGAACAGCACACACACACTTTTCAAGTGCTAGCCAAAATAATTACTTCTCTCCTTCTGTGGGGGGAAAAAAATCCAGTAAATCATGAATATTCAATGGACTGGTTAATGACATAGTAATGCTTTAGCTGAAATCTTTGCTCCTTAAAATACAGCCAACATGAGCTGCCAGTTAGAACAATTAAAAATACAAAAATAACTTGATTTGCAGAAGCTATCACCCCCTGATCGCTTCAGGAGTGTGTGATGGTAGCATGATACCATGACAGATCTGGGGCAGACTGTCTTCACCATCTGGGAGATGTAAAACAGGCAGGAAAAAATAATTTCTGTTATTCACTGGAGCTTCTGCCAGTGCTGGGGGCTCTCCAGGGTAAAGGAGCCTCCCCTCAGCAGCAGCTCAGTCCTCACCCAGATGATCCCAGGGTGCACCCAGTTACATTTCCAGCCTTGCAGCACCAGCTCAAAGGAAAAAAAACCAAATAAATACATAAAAATTGTGTCTTTTAGCTAAATTCCTATGAATTGCATGAATGAGCCTTTCCATAACCAAATCCCTGTATGAAAACAGCGATCTGCAAAAGGGAAAAAACAAACAGCCAAACAAAAACCTGCAGGAAAGGCTCAATTTGAAGCCAGTTTTGTTTCCTCAAAGCCTGAGAGTTGTGGCTGGAGTGCTGTGAGTGCTCTTGGGTTATTCCTCTGCTTTCAGGTGGTGCTCAGGAGTTGCACCTTCCCCTTTTTCTCTCAGGAATCCCTGATTATCCAGCCTCAGTTTTGTTGCTTTGCCACCAAAGGCAGCTGTGGGGAAGCCCCATGTTCATCATGAATTGATGATGATGGGTGAACTGAAGCCTCCACGTTGTCTGTGAACTCTTGGTTTTTCCCACTGGAGTTTTTCCCATGTGGAATCTGCCCCCTGCAAGAGTCACCAGCATCACTGTGAGGCCTGGGCTGTGGAAGGAGTAAAACTTGTCTAGAAAGACGTTTATAACTTTCAGATATTGCAATATTCCGAAGCTGATGGCTCACTCTGCTCTCCCTGAGTCATTTCTGACATACTTCAGGATTTAACATCAAGGAGTGAGCCCTTTATCTCCAGCCTTAACATTTTCCTCCACTATGGGAACAGCTAATGCACAAAAGTAACTTTCCTCAGTGTTATCTTCAAAGTTGGGAACATATTTGGTTGCATAGTACAATAACTCCATTCATATTTCATGGATTTTTAAATTCAG